GGTGGGGTGGGGGTACAGAGAGTAGGGCTTGGGAAGTGAATTTTAATTAATAATGGGATATTATTGACCAACTATGGCTCTTGTTGTAGTACTTCCAAGATTTGGAAAGACTGTCATCTGCCTTTGTAGCTCCCTGTGCCTAATTTGCTCTACTTCATACTTGGCAGGAGTGGATGATGGAGCTGATATCCCCCGGGACCTGGTGGTTGGTATTTATGAGAGGATTCAGCAGAGAGAGCTCAAATCCAACGAGGACCATGTGACCTATGTTACCAAAGTGGAAAAATCTATTGTTGGAATGAAAACGGTGAGTCCTGACACATCACGGGTATCTGCCTTATTTGTTTCCTTCCTGCCAAAATCTAACATAAGAAGAGCTTGGTTGGGTCAGACCAAAGATCCAGCTAGTTCAGCATCCTGTTTTGTCACTGGGGGGGGGGGACACTGGGTGCCCAGGGAGGCCAAAGCTTCCCCCTTCCGGGCTCTTTTTGTAGCAGGAGCTCCTTTGCATATTAGGCAACACACCTCTACAGCAGCCAATCCTCCAAGAGCTTACAGTAGCCCCTGTAAGAAGAGCTCTGTAAGCTCTTGGAGGATTGGCCATGTTAGGGGTGTGTCGCCTAATATGCAAAGGAGTTCCTGCTACAAAAAGACCCCTATGCTGCCTCAAACATGGCAGCCCCATTGTGCCATCATGGCTAATAGTCATCAGTGGACCTATCCCCCATGAATTTTTCTATTCTCCTTTTAAGCCAGTGGCCATGATTATATCCCACAGTAAAGAGTTCCTCAAGTTAGTTATATCTTGTGTGAGTTATTTCCCCCCCTGCCCTGATTTACATAGCGTAATGGTTATGTTGCCTTGTAATGAATGTTTCTCATATTCTCCATTTGTCTCTCAATGGTAATGAGCGTTAGAAACTTGTCCCTCCCTCAATCAAATGAAAGCCTTTCCGAGATTCTCTATCAGAGGCCATATTACGTTACTGCGGCCATGCAGAATCCTAGCTTGTCCTCTGGCTTATGGTTGGATGAGATAAGCAAGGAAAGCCCTGAAGTGGACTGAACCCTGCCTGCCTAATTGTGAGGAAGTGGTTCAATCCATGACTAAATCATAGCCAAGCACAGAATCTGCTGATGAGGCTGAAGATGGGTTGAACAAATTGCACTTTATGAGACTGTACAAGGGGTATGTCTAGGAGCTAAAGTTGCCAAGTGCCTTCCTGGAATCTGGGGAGATTTTGGGGAGTGGGACATGGGCAAAAATAGAGTTGCCAGGTCTAGGCGGGAAAATACCTGGAGACTTTGGGGGTGGATCCAGGAGAGGGTGAGGTTTGGGGAGGGGCCTCAGCATTGTACAATGCCAAAGAGTCCACCATTCAAAGCAGCCATTTTCTCCGCGGGAGCTGATCTCTGTCAGCTGGAGATCAGTTGTAAAAGTGGGAGATATCCAGGCCTCACCTGGAGGCTGGCAACCCTATGGTGGAAAGGTGTTGTTACATCAGTATCGCATCTGGCTAAAACCTGGAAGTGACATAACCAATGCTCTAGGATTTCATCATCCCATAGCATCGGTGACATCAATTTCAGGTTTTAGCCAAAAGTGACGCTGATGCATCAACAGTGTCTCCCCCCCATTTCCCCCTTGCCACTCATTTGAATTGGGGGGCACTGGGAAGTAGTGGTGGGAGATCACCCGCCATACTGGACAAACTGGCAACTGAACTCAGAGCCCAGATTGTGGCCCCTGTGCATGGCTGGTGGCCAGGGCAGGACTTGACAGGTGACAGGTCTAATTTAAAGGGTTGGGGTGGGTGGCTGAGGAGGAGCAGCTCAGTGACTAGGCAATCTCAAGACCACCACCACCCCCTTCGCCTGCAGGAGGAGGCGATTCTACAGGGATAACACTCAACCTCCTCCTTGCCATGATGGTCTGGGAGGGTGGTCAACGGGCAGTGCAGAGGGGTGGTCCCTTGTGAGCGAGCTCCGCATTCCTGCAGACCATAAGGGCGCAATGGCTTGGGCATGGTGGATAAGGATGGGGACCTTTCCCACTCAGTCTCTGCCTTCTAGGTCCTGTCGGTGCCCCACCGCCGTTTGGTTTGTTGCAGCCGCCTTTATGAAGTGACGGACGTGAACAAAGTGCAGAAGCAAGCGGCTCACCAGAGGGAGGTCTTCCTCTTTAATGACTTGCTAGTGGTGAGTGGGTTGTTTTGTTTTGGCTGTCAGAATCACAGCGTATGGAAGCCATTTGGGGAAAGCAGAGGGGTGGGATTTGACCATTTCGCCTGGCAGTCAGGGCATCACACATTTGGTCTCCCCTTCTTGGAAAACTCCCTCCATATAGAAAGCGAGCACCTTAGATTCGGCCAGACCAGGGGTGGCCAGACTTGCTTAACGTAAGAGCCACATATAAACATCTGAGAACCACAAGGCATGAACAAATACACGTTTTTACTGGGAAATATGCAAATTTGCTTTTTATTAACATTAAATGAGACTTCCAAAAATAATAACCAAAGTGGTAAAAGCAGATATTGATGATGATATTTATTTGTCCAATGATATTTGTTTGCTAATGATAATTAGCTTCTCCAGCCACCCTGCCAGGAGCCACACGATATGTGTGAAAGAGCCGCATGCGGCTCCCGAGCCCTGGTTTGGCCACCCCTGGGCTAGACCCTGTCTCCCCAAAATGATGGCATTTTGTGAGTGGGATGTTTTTGGGTCAGGGAAGCAGTCAAGTATGAAATCCTCCCTGTCGTATTCTGGGCTGCTGTAATCCTAGAAGGACTGTGTCAGGTCTAGCCCGGTGCACAGAGTGACTCAAAGACACCCTTGCTTCAAAATCCCAAACAGAGTAACCCATGATATCCAGATGCCACAGAAGAGGCATCCAGGAACTGAGTTTAATAATAAGGGCTGATTTCACACAGGGAGCTGCGCCGCTGTTGCGCCTCCGTTGGCCCCATTTCCATTGGTCAAATTACCACTTGAAGCCGTGCAGCCGCATTTTGACCTGCAGCTTCGCCCGATTTTCCCTGCGGTTTCGTGATCCTGTTTTTTTGAGGATCATGAACCCGTGGGGAAAATCGGGAGAAGCCGCGGGTCAAAATGCGGCCGCGCAGCTTCGAGTGGGAAATTGACCAATGGAAACAGGGCAAAGGGAGGCACGACGGTGGAGCAGCTCCTTGTGCGAAATCAGCCAAGGATTTATATATGCCACCTCTGATGTAATACCATTGCTATGCCACAACAGGCAATGAAATGTTGTTTATACATTCATTTCACCAAAGCAGCGTTCTAAGAGCTGGTTTTGGCATTTTCTTTTGGTGGTGGGAAGTGCCGTCAAGTCGCAGCTGACTTATGGTGACTCCGTAGAGTTTTCAATGCAAGAGGCGGTTTGCCATTGCCTGCCATTGCCTGTAGCAACCCTAGTATTCCTTGTTGGTCCCCCATCCAAACATTAACCAGGGCTTAGCTTCTGGGGTCTGACGAGATCGGGCTAGCTTGGGCTATCCAGGTCAGGGCACATTTTCTTTTACATGTGAACAATACTGGGCTTGTTCCCATCACAGAGAAGGACAGCTTGGTGGTCATGAATGCAGCGGACAGCAACATCCGCGGTCATGGCGGCTGAGAAAAATGCTACTGAAGATGTGATGGAAACTGCTGCCACCTATATGTGCAAGGATCTGGTTCTCACATTGTGTCATCCATACAGCTGTGCCGCTGAAGGATGATGTGAGCTGTTTGCATGTGCAAGGAAACATCTCAGGGGAATTGTATTATTCCCATACAATTAGTAATCAGTTAGAGCATAGGCGTCCAGCGACTAGCCTGTGGGCTGAGGTGTAGCCTGCCTGAGGTTTTTAGCTAAGAGCTTTTTAATCTGGTCAAGTTTGATTCCACTGCACCTACATCTTGAAACTGGGGCATTATGAAGAATGATTGACAAGTGCTTGCCAGTGTTCCCTCTAAGCTATGCAGGTGAGAGGCCACTCATTAACACAGGAAGCCCCACTCAGCAGCAGTCTGGAGCCGCGCAGGGTCTTGCACTGCCCATTGCCCATTTTAAGATTACAGCAGTTGTATTCTGCTCATGATGTGAACTGCAGCACTCAGGAGGGGAAAAATGAGAGAGAGAGAGAGAGAGAAGAAGAAGGAGGAGGAGATTGGATTTGTACCCTGCCCTTCATTACCCGAAGGAGTCTCAGAGTGGCCTTCAGTCTCCTTTCCCTCCCCCTCCCCACAACAGACACCCTGTAAGGTAGGTGGGGCTGAGAGAGCTTTTTAAAGGACTGCTAGTGAGAGAACAGCTCTGAAAGAACTTGTGACTGACCCAAGGTCACAGCAGCTGCTGCATGTGGAGGAGAAGAAAATCAAACCCTGTTCTCCCAGATTAGAGTCCGCACTGCTAACTGCTACACCAAACTATCAGCGTACCTCAGTTTCAAGGTGGTTTCAGGGAGTATCCATGTTGGTCTGTGGTAGAACAGTTAAATTTCAGTCCAGTAGCATGTTGGAGACCAAAAAGAGTTTCAGGGTATAAAGTCAAAGTTCCCTTTGTCTGTATCAAGAGGTGCTTCATTGAGCTGAAAGTGAAGTACGTCCACTAAGAAGACAGAGGTTCCCTGGAAATTTGGACACAAGGCTATGTATCCTTCCCTGATATGGATGGCCCAGCTTAGCCTAGTCTTGTCAGATCTGGGAAGCTACGCAGGGTCAGCCGTGGATGGTGCTTGGATGGGAGACCACCAAGGAAGTCCAGGATTGCTACGCAGAGGCAGGCAATGGCAAACCACCTCTGAAGTCCCTTGCCTTGAAAACCTGATGTGGTCACCATAAGTTGGCTGTGAATTGACCTTACTTTCCGTCACCACCACCATATGAATCCCAGAATGATCTTGTAATTCCTGGCTAAGTTGTCAAACTCTGGGCAATGTTTCGGGCCACCTGGCTCTGTGAAGGTACTTTCTCTTTCCTGAAACTGTTGAAATCGAAGCGGAGAGTCACCGTCAGCTATGTAAACCAGGATTCAGAACTGAAATGTGCCCTGACTGACTATACCACACAGTTTTTGAGAACAGTGCAGCTTGTTAGATACTATTATTCCCACTGACCTGATCAATTTTGATCATTGTCTAGCACCAGACCCCATAACTGTGCCCTTTTGTGCAAATAAAACTGATTAAGCTGTTTTTATATTACTACTAAACATTCATGTTTTTAATGTCTAACGTCGCTACTGTTATCATTAAAAAAAAAAACCCGACACGACTGGCAGACGTATGGGTTTTTGCTTACATAGCCAACTCCTGTAGAAAACATGGACACCTCTGAGTTAGAGAACAGAAGTGCAACAAAATTTAGAATCATTAGGTGGAAGGTGGAAGGGACCTTCTGCTCTAAAGCAACACTGTCCCCATAAAGCGATATGTCAAACATGGGATGCCCATAGTCAGCAAGAAATGAACATTTATAAAATACATAGACAGTTTTTGCTCATCTCTAATCCAGTGCATTGCCCTGACCTGGATGACCTGGGCTAGCCTGAGCTTCTCAAATCTCAGAAGTTAAGGAGGGTCAGCCCTGGTTGGTACTTGGATGGGAGACCACCAAGGAAGACCAAGGTTGCTACGCAGAGGCAGGCAATGGCAAACCACCTCTGTTCATCTCTAGCCTTGAAAATCCTATGGGGTCGCCACAAGTCAGCTGTGATCTGACAACACTTTCCACCACCAATTTAGTGCATTAGCCAAAGTGTGATGGGGATGGGGCGTTGCTGTATGGACGCTACTGCATGGTGACTACAAGAGTCACTGTAAGTTAGAATATGCATGGGCTGCCTGAATCTATCCTGCACTGTTTGGGAGTAGCTCAGTTAACTTTCCAAGAGCAAATGTCTATGAAATTAACAAAGGCTGATTTGACGGGGCTCCCTGCAGTATACATAAAAACCCTGCCTACAGCATAGTTCTCTAGAAATCTGTCCATGCTGGTTTTTAACTCGTAGCATTTTAAACTATACTACTTCATTGTTCCCAGGGGAATCCTATATTCTCATTTAGATGTGAAAACCCATCTGTAGCCAAATCTTCATGAAGGGGAAGAGGGTCTCTTATGAGATTTGTTCAGAATTAGAAATAATGTAGCTCTACAATCTCGGGCCCAACCTGGAAGAGCCAGGGAGGCATAGAGGGCTGGATCCTTAAATCCATTCTAGTAATAGCTGTGTTTTTCCTCTGGTGCCAGGAGAAGACTGTCAGAGAGAAGCATCACTGTTAGTAGAATGAAACTGGGGATCCAGGCCAAAGTCTGCAGTAAAAGAGACCCCTTAATAAAAGGGAATGAGTTACTCTGGTGCTACACTAGTACGTCCCGTCCCCGTCTCCCCTGTCCCCCCCCCCCCTCCAGGTTCCTT